AACAGCTCGTTCCAAACTAGGGTTTTAGGCCCTTTTAGGAACTTGGAACGGCGCATTCCGGTTTTGCAACAGCCCGTTCCAAGCTTCTAAAACCAGCTTGTTTGGGCTTTTAGGCCTCCTGATGTCTTGTCCTGTTATTTCCATGCTTCGGGAGCTCCTTTCATTAATAATAGACGTCCATTTCATTGCTTTTGTTAGTTCGGACAAAATTGGGTGTCTATAATTTTTACTTAAGAGTGTACTTAGTAGATTAGGGAAAGTGTAATTAACAATATCTTGTTAGACTTTTTTGGGCTTGGATGGCCCAAATATTTTTATGGCCCATAGGTTTGGATGTCCACTTGCCCATGCAAGTGGTTTGGACATCCAAACCATGCCAAGCTTGCCATCCAAGCTACAAATTAAGTCACATGGCTTTGATAATGAAATATCAACAAATTTGTTAAAAGTAATTATTAGTCTAGTAGTTGTAATGATTAAATTAGGTAATTTGAGTTAACTTAAGCTAACCTGGGTTATTCTTAAACTTGTAGACAACAAACTATACTTGTAGACATTTATCTAGAGTTAGTTAGCTTAAGTACAAGATAGCTAAGCATGGTTAATCTAGCCCATAAGTCAACTAAACTCTATATATTTTATTTTTGTACTCATTTTATGATAGTCTTGAGTAATATACACGATTTGGACGAAATTTGTCTCCAAATTTTCTCTCAAAGCTTGTTTCTCTCCTTGAAACTTGATCCTTTTCTCTTATTCTCGGTTGAGTGTGGTGAGAATTGGAGGGACTTATCACTCACATGAGTGTGGCGTCACCAAGGGAGATTCCTTATCTTCCATGTGTGTTTGGAAATTGCTTCTAACACCTTAGGAAGCCATTAAAGAAGCTAATAAGAGACCAAGAAGAAAAATATCCGTTCTAGAAGCTTAAAGGAGGAACTACATCAATCTAGTCTCTCTTTGGAGTTTCCATCAATAATTCATAGTTTTTACATCAAATTTCAATAATCCAATTGTTGATTTAAAAGTTCTAAATGCACAGATCAACTCTATAAATTTTATAAAAATTTATAAAATACTTTTAAGATTATTTGTGAATTTGAATTGAAACGAAGTATCAAATAGTTTTCAAGTTTTATTTAAAATTTGTAAATTTGATCGATGCATTAATAACTTTTAATTCAATAGTTCGATTGTTGAAATTTGATGTAAAATATAAGTTATTGAGTGGAATAAATCTACCATGACTTATTCTTTAAGTAAGCGGATCCTTCTTTATATATATGTATGTATATATATATATATATATATATATGAGTTATAATTACATCGGTGTAACTTTTACTAAGTATTATACCGCTCAATAACTTTATATTAAATTAAAATTTTGTAAATCCAATCGTTAGATTAAAAGTTCATATCTCTTAGATCATATATACAAAATTTTATATTAATAATCCAAGATGATTTGATACTTTATTTTTATAAAACAAAATTGAGGTAATATATTCATTTCAAAATACACTAAAATTTGAACACTTTGATTACCTTCAAGTTGTTGTTCAATTTTAACAAAATTTGATATACACGTATAAAGTGATATGAACTTTCAATCTAACGGTTGAATTTACAAAATTCACAATTAATATATAGTTGTTGAGTGGTGTACTACTTAGTAAAAGTTACACCAGTGCAATTATAACCCCCCTTATATATATATATATATATGAGAAGGGATTTGTTTACTTCAAGAATAAGTCTACCTAGACTTACTCTATTCGATAACTCATGTTATACATCATATTTTAATGATCCAACCTTTGAATTTAAAGTTCTTAATGTATAAATCAAATTTGCAAAGTTTTAAAAAATTTGAAAATCATTTGATACTTTTTTTCATTAATTCAAATCAATATATAAAATCATATTATGATTATTTGTCAATTTAAATTAATGAAATGAAGTATCAAATAATTTTTAAATTTAAAAAAAAAATTCATATTTGATATTTACATTAAGAACTTGAAATTGAACTGTTGAATCATTAAAATTTGATGTAAAACATGTTATTGAATAGAGTAAGTCCTAGAGAATTGATTCATTTACTCCAAAAGTAAGTCTATCTAAACTTACTCAATTCAATAACTCACGTTCTACATCAAATTGCAGCATGTCAACAATTAAATTAAAAGTTCTTAATGCATAGATCAATTTTAAAATCTTTTAAAAAGTGTAAACTATTTGATACTTTGTCATATAAATTCAAATCAATGTATCAAATGTTTTTATGATTATCCTTTAATTTTAATTAATAAAATGGAGTACCAAATTGTTTCCAAATTTCTTAAAAATTTGCAAAATTTATCTAAACACTGAGAGCTTTTAATTTAACCATTGGATTATTAAAATTTGATGTAGAACATGAGTTATTGAATGAAGTAAGTTTATGTAGACCTACTTTTGGAGTAAATGGATCATCTTCATATATA